CCATAAACCCTAAAGCATAAACCCTAAACCACTCTCTGGGGTTTCCCTGTAAGCAGTCCCAGGTGGTCCGAGGTGTCATCAGAGGCAAAGGACCTCATCACACAGCTCCTTGACTTCAAACGCATGTAGGCTTAGGATTTAGGGTTTAGGGTTTAGGGTTTAGGGTTTAGGGTTTAGGGTTTAGGATTCAGGGTTTAGGGTTTAGGGTTTAGGCTGGGTGTAGGGCTCCAGGTGCTCAAAGGTGAGGCGTTCTGCCAAGTTTAGAGACTCTAGAAACAGAGTGGAAGCTCCAGATTTGCGGCGTTTGTCGCATCAAAGGCTTTGGGGCTGTTTTGAGTACCAGGTTCAGGGCAGTTGAGTCTGAAGACACCTGACACCCGAAACCCCGGATTCTCCTGAACCCCAATCCCTAGACAAATTTATAGAAGAACCCTACGCCCTGTGCCGCAAACCATGCAGCCATACATCCTACAATGTACAACCCTCGAACAAATAAAACCCTAAGGGCCCATGTACCCAAACAGTAGATACTTTGGCCCCAAAGTACCCCTTTAAGGCCGGAGTATCTACTATTTGGGCACATGGGCCCATAGGGAAAACACACACGGCATCTCCCAGGCTTCTATGTGTGGACGCTGCGAAGCGCTTGTCGGCCAGCCAAATCTTGCAGCATCCATGGCTTCAGAAGGCAGAACTGTACGTGTGAGTCTAGCAGGTCACCGTAAAGCCTTAATGATAACCCCTATAAACCCTATAAGCCCTAAGCCCTAAACCCTATAAACCCGAAAACCCAATTCTACGTGTGAGTCTAGCAAGTAATGGTTCGGCTCTTTGAGCAATAGTCGCCCCTATAAACCCTAAGCCCTTAAACCCTAAACCCTATAAACCCTAAATCCTATAAACCCTTAACCCTAAACCAAAAACCCTATAACCCTAGACCCTAAACCCTATAATCCCTGAACCCTAAACCCAGCCCCGAAGTTTAAACTTGAGTTCCCCAGGATACTGGACAAGTAAGTCTGCGCAGTCATATTTAGGGGCCTTAGTAATTAGAATAGGGTTTAGGGGTATATTATACCATAATCATAATAAGGAACCGCCCGAAACCCTATTCTAATTATTAAGGCCCCTACATTATTTTGTTCCGGGGTTCTGGCTTTGCAGCCTTTGTTGTTGTTCTTGACTTGCTTGCGTGTTTCAGGTTTCAAAACCCTAAACCCTAACCCCTAAACCCAAGGTTCGGAATGGTGCTTGCACTTCCAAGGGGTGATCTTCGGTTTTCTGATAAACCCAGCAGGGATACTGTTGATGGACAAAATCCTGCATGACCCTATATACCTAAACTATGGGATTTATGGTACTATACTATATTTGGGTCATGCAGAATTTTGTCCATCAACAGTATTATGAGACATGTTGGTTCTTGCCGTGGGCCCATGGGGCTATGGCTAGCTTCCTACACTGTGTTCCAGGTTTGGGTGCGGTGTTATAGTTTGTGCAGCCCATTGTCGGTTTAAGGGTTAAGATGGGATATGACGGGATCAACAAGCATAATCTAATGGTAGCGAATTGATGAGTCTGTTTAGTGCTCCTCAGGAATATTTCTGAATGTATGTGGCGTGTTTCAGTTTGGTGACTCGGGCAAAATACGATCTAGTCCACCTGACTTCAGTGTCCAAGTATCGCTCGGAGCTCCAGGCAGAGCTTTATGATTTACGCAAAGATGAAGGTTCCAGGCACCAAAAGCCTTGTCGGTCATTGTACCTTTCCCAACGGCCCTAAACCCTAAACCCTAAACCCTCTAAGGACTCATGCTACAAGGTTTTTTGGGCCGAAGACCATACTTTCTAAGGCTTTTGGGGTGCTTTTTGTTGAGCCTTAGGGTTTTACTTTGAACGCTGCTTACTTGGACCCTGTGCCATGATGGAGGTGTTTCATGAGGGCTTAGGGTTTAGAGTTTAGGGTTTATAGGGTTTAGGGTATCGGATGTGGGGTGCAGAGCTCTGTGTTTCTTTTCTCTGATGTTGATGTGATTTTAGCCTTCTGCCTAGTGCCTGGACTCAGAAATTCAGAAACCCCCTAAACCATAAACCCTGAACACTAAAATCGTGCTCACCCCAAGACCCACCATGCGAAATCCTAGCCTGTGATCCCTAGAACGGCTCCCCGGAAGTCTCGTGTTCGATGCTAACCCAAACCCAATCCGCAAACTCTGTAGCCCTTGAACCCTTAAAGCCTAAACCCTAAACCCTAAACCCTAAGCCCTGAACCTAATGTACTTAGCGCCCCAATCCTCAAGGCCGAAGTGATAAGCCCAAATCGGAAAGGTGTAACCCTGCACCAAGGCCCAAACTCCAACACTGTAAACGCCTCAAACCCTAAAGCCAAAACCCCTAAGCCCTAAACCCCTAAACCCCTAAAGCACTAAACACTACCTATACCCTAAACAAACCCCTAAACCCCCAAAGCCCTAAGCTCAGCTCCGGCAGAGGCCGCTCCGCATCTGAAAATGGAAGCGGCGGCCCTGCAACAGATCCTTGGCGTTCTTTTGCTTGGCCACGGTTTAGAGTTTAGGGTTTAGGGTTTAGGACTTTAATTTTTGGGGTTTCTATATGAACTATAATAATGAAGGAGCTAAAAGTTTAGCCTTTAGGAGGGGTTCAGAAGTCAGCCAAGGATCGGAGGCCTCGAGACGTTCCACAACCAGCCGCTGGGGTATCCAGGAGGAGGGCGTAAGGTTTAGGGCCCCTATAAACCCTAGAAGCCCTAGAAACCCTAAACCCTCAGGTTTATGGTTTTAGGGTTTAGGGTTTAAGATTTAGGGTTTAGGGTGGCAGGTTTAGGGTTAGGGTCCATGGTTTAAGGTTAGGGTTAAGGGTCCATGGTTTAAGGTTTAGGGTTTAGGGTCCATGGTTTAAGGTTGGGGGTTGGGGTCCGTGGTTTTAGGTTTAGGGTTTAGGGTCCATGGTTTAAGGTCTAGGGTTTAGGGTCCATGGTTTTAGGTTTCGGGTTTAGGGTCCATGGTTTAAGGTTGGGGGTTAGGGTCCGTGGTTTTAGGTTTAGGGTTTAGGGTCCATGGTTTAAGGTCTAGGGTTTGGGGTCCATGGTTTTAGGTTTAGGGTTTAGGGTCCATGGTTTAAGGTTTAGGGTTTAGGGTCCATGGTTTTAGGTTTGGGGTTTAGGGTCCATGGTTTTAGGTTTAGGGTTTAGGGTCCATGGTTTTAGGTTTAGGGTTTAGGGTCCCTGGTTTCAGGTTTAGGGTTTAGGGTCCATGGTTTTAGGTTTGGGGTTTAGGGTCCATGGTTTTAGGTTTAGGGTTTAGGGTCCATGGTTTTAGGTCTGGGGTTTAGGGTCCATGGTTTTAGGTTTAGGGTTTAGGGTCCATGGTTTTAGGTTTGGGGTTCAGGGTCCGTGGTTTTAGGTTTAGGGCTTAGGGTCCGGCACCGCCCCCACGCAGAGCCCTGAAGGGATCGTTATAGGGATACTGTGAGAGGTGTCCTTAAAGGGTGTCCTTTGAGGGTTCCTCTAAGGGTTTAGGGTTTATGGGTTTTGGGATTAGGGTTACTATTCTTAGTTACTATCAAGGTTTACTTATGCTCCCTAGGGTGGGTATGTAGGGTATAGTTGAGGGTCGTTGGGGTGTCTCGGGTTGCACGAAGCTTTCGTGGTAAGGGCGGGGTGCAATGCTCACGGAGGAAAGAGGCTTTTTACACGATTCTGTAATGGTTGGTTCGAAAAAAGGTTCTAAGAGGGGTTGATCATGGCAGTCACCTTAAAGCCCGTGAGCAATGTAAACCCATGCGCTAAGCCCTTTCAGCTGCTGCCCTAAACCTGCTACGTAGGGGATCAGACCCTACCCTCTTATTTCGTGCCTAGCTGCTGATTGGATTGGTATCTGATGTACACAAAATCAGCACTTAAAAACAAGGGGCAGGGCATGCCAACACCCCCAAACTACCCCCGATTAGAGCCCAAGTACGCGCTATGACAGACGATAAGGCCTCTATTCAGGCGTACTTCGGGGATTGCTGGTGACCCAAAACCCTGAACCCTAAACCCTAAACTGGGTATAGCTCCCAACCCTTAAGCCTGGAAGCAGAGGGTGGTTCTGGGAAGGCTGGGCTGAATACTCGGATTGAAAGTTTAAGGTTTCCAGGGTTTAGGGTTTAGGATTTAGGGTTAAGGGTTAAGGGTTTAAGGGTTTATAGTGAATCCCAGGAAGTTGGAACATGGATTCAGGATGATCAATACTGGGATTCCGTATACTTTACCCAATGGGCATGAGGACAATGACGTTCCAACTATCTGGCTTCTACTGTTTAGGGTTTTAGGGTTTAGGGTTTAGGGTTTAGGGTTTAGGGTTTAGGGTCTATCTGGCTTCCACTGTAGCGGGTTTAGGGTTCTTGAAGCCTACATAAGGAGACTTGACGTTCTAGGCTTCGGAGTTTCAGCGGTTCTCTCCTGACACTCCAAATCTCATAGAGGATTCTTTGGGCCCAAAATACATACTAAACGGTACCTTTGCACCGTAAACCCTAAACCCTAAACCTTCAACCCTAAACTCAGAAGCCCTAAACGGCTCGACCCTCCGCAACCTCAGAATAAGGAACATAGACCCTTAACCCCCTTTAGACAATTCCCCCATCCCACCATAAGCTCTGAACCCGTAATGTCTTAAAGCCCTTAAAGACCCTAAACCCTTTAATGCCTCAATTCCCTTTTAGAACCCTCGGCCCAAAAAGCTCTGATTTTTCTGGCAAGGAACGTTTTCCGCCACTTGTCAGCCGGCGTCCTCGCGAAGCAGATGGACGAAGGGGACTTACACGAGCTTCACAAGGCCTTTTGCGCCATGGACAAGGACTTGGGACATAGTATATTTCCAACGTATTACGTTATATATATATATATATAGCATGAACCGTATCATATACTATATACTACTAGCTATGTTATCTTAGAGCTCATCAAAATGCAGTATCTTATGTTATATTAAATAGAAACCACATTTATGATTTGCGGAGTTGCTTCCAAGCTTGAGCGTTATGAGGTCCCATACAATACCGTAATCCCCCAATCTTCGGCCCTCATGGACACTAGACAAACGTCCCTAAACCCTGAACCATCCCCTTCCACCACATAGAGGCCAACAGAATCATTTTAAAACCATCATCGAGACCATGCTACTTTAACAAGCTATATAGACCGTATAACAACGTACACAACGCTGAGAAAACCACGAGCCTCCGGCAAGTTGCCGTGCACGCTCGCTAGGATGAGAACGGCGTTGTCACCTTCGCCGAGTTCAAGGAGGTTCTGAAGGTGCCGATGGGGCCCAAAACTTAGGACTGACGCCATTCAATCATTCAGGCGTGTTAGGGTTTAGGGCTTATATAGGTTTCAGGGCAGGGGCTTAGGGATGAGGAACTGTATGCCTGGCCTGTCGGGTTTGAAGGGGAAGGGTGCAGCGGGTTTTTGAACTTCCTTTCTTCTTTCCCGCTTCTGCTTTTAGGTTGCGGTGGTTTTCCAACATGGAACCGCCAAACTTCAAGAGGGGTCTTAATCTTAAGTAAGTCATAAGTAGGTGTAACATGATCCCACTTGGAGAAGTTATGACCCTACGCATGTCGTAACGTACCGACAAAGTCTCGACGATACCACTCCCGGCACCGTGAACCCAGAACTACCCCCTAGGCCCCTAAACCCTGGACTCGAGGGTTAACATATAGTTTTGAGCTGTTAAGCCTTCCAAGTCCTGACTTTAGGAGCCTTTGGCGACTACATTGTGGAGAATGTTTGGGGTGACGGTAGCTTAAGTGAAGTCTCACCCTAAGGGTCCATGTACCCAAATAATAGATATTTCGGCCATAAAGTAGTCCCTCTTTGGGTACTTTGGGGCCAAAGTATCTACTATTATTTGGGTACATGGACCCTTAGGGTCATAGCAAGAGCACTGACGATTCGAGACACAAGTCCGAGATATTCGAGCCCGCAAACATCCTGCTTTAGGGTACATAAAGTCTAAAAATCCTCTTTATGTAAACTGTCTGAAGACCCGGTAGCAGCTTTCACAAGTCCGTCTTTCTACTAAGTTAAGCCCTGAAGCCTCTCGACCCACCCTAAGCCTCAAGGCCGTAAGCCTTTCTAAGTCCCTGAGACTGAGAAGCAGTCACAAGAGTTCAACACTAGACCCTAGACCCTGAACCCTAAACCCCTACACCCTAAAACTCTAAACCCTAAACCCTCATTTTAGGGTTTACTGAAACCCTAAAAAAACGACTACTTGTGGGTTCCAGATGATGACTTCCCCTTAGAAGTTCTTCAGGTCAGGTTGAAGCCCCTAAACCCGCCGGTCTTCGGATAGTTAGAAAAGGAACTTTTGAACAGCAACGAAAGCCCAAATACGGTTTAGGATCGCTAAGCCCTAAACCCCTAAACCCTAAACCCTATCAACCCTAAACCCTACACCCTAAACCCTAAACCCCTAAACCCTAAACCCTAGACCCAAAACCCTAAACCCCTGAACCCTAAACCCTTACAGCCCTAACCCCTAAACCCCTAAACCCTAAACCCGCAGGAGTTCAATTTGAACAGCTCCAGCCATCCGGAGCTCCAGTTGGGCGCCGGGAAGATCAGCGAGCAGCCCGGCAGCAAACTACTTTGGGTTGAGGGGTGTAGGGGTTTAGGATTTAGAGTTTACGGTTTAGGGTTTAGTGTTTAGGGTTTAGAGTTTAGGGTGTAGGGTTTATGGGGTTTAGGGTTTAGAGGGTTTGGGTTTAGGGTTTAGGGGAGTTTAGGGGTTTGGGGTTTAGAGGTTTAGGGGGTTTGGGGTTTATGGGCTTAGCGTTTAGGGGGTTTAGGGGGTTTAGGGGGTTCAGGGTGTAGGGGTTAGGGGTTTAGGGGTTTAGGGGGTTTAGGGGTTAAGGGGTTTAGGGGTTTAGGTGTTTAGGGGTTTAGGGGTTTAGGTGTTTAGGGGTTTAGGGTTTAGAGTTTAGGGTTTAGGGTTTAGGTGTTTAGAGGTGTTGTTCCTTAAAGCAGTCGGCTTCTAGCCCCAAACACATGGGTAGTTCTCTAACTTAGGGTCTCTGTTAGAGTCCCTTTTTAGAAGAGTGTCGTACTATGTTGGGACCTAAAGAGGGGCCCTGCTTTAGAGATCTACTCACATATGTTGGACACATTTTCGGCCCGCTCCATAGCGCCGCGCTTCAGGATCCAGGGTTTCGGAGGCAAGGAGGTTCTAGGACGCTCTAATTCCCGGGGCCTTGCTAAGGGATTTAATTTCAGTTGCCATAAGAATGCAAGCATATTATTCACCATAGATCCCTGGACGTTGGGGCACAGGGTGTAGGGTCGAACAAGGTGCTGCATCGCCCGGGTCAAACAGTTGTGTTGGAGACCGTTTGGCTGATGCAAATGCAGATCCTCGGCCCTAAACCCTCAGCCCCAACCCTAGACCCAAATGCATCACAAAAAAAGGCCACTAAACCCTAAACCCTAAACCCTGAACACCTAAACCCTAAACCCCAATACACAGAAAAGCCCTGCACAGCCCCACACCCTAAACCCTAAACCCTAGACACCAATGCACAGAAAAGCCCTGCACCGCCCCCTGCATCAGGATCTTTCACAGTGTGGACTTAGATGGCCGTGGAGCGACTCAGCTGTCGGTGAGAGCTTCGGGCTTAGTTTGGGTTCAGGGTTAAGGGTTTAGGGTTTGGGGTTTGGAGTTTTGGATTTGTGTTTTGGGGTTTATAGGGTTTAGGGTTTAGGTTTAGGGTGTAGGATT